CTGCTCTACACCCTTTTACAGTTTTAGAAAATCAGAGAAACTTGAATGCTTGCTGGGTATGAGATGATATAAAGAGGTTATTTTATATATTGAGTATGATAATGTCATTTTGGGTATGATTTTTTAAGTCTTTATCTGTTGTAAACTGAAATATTTATGGGGAAATAATGGAATTGAGTATAATAGCTAGGCTTTCCTTCAAGATGTTCCAGCAAAAGAGGAAGGAAAGGTGGGGAAGGAAGAAAATTAAATAGGGAGGAAAGTTAATAAAACAAGAATGGGCAAAAGTTGGTCATTAAAACTAACTTATCAGTGCAGAGGGTTTCCTCATGCTATTTTCTCTACTTTTATCTGGGTTCCAAAATTTCTATAATGGTTTTAAATAGCTACTGGTCAATGTAGGCCTCATTCAGGAGGTGATACTAAAACAGCAACTGAAGGAGCTGAGGGAACAAGCTGCGTGGACGGGTGTCTGGGATTGGTAGAGGGCGGGGCAGGTACCAGGCCAGGGAAGAGCCATTTGGACTCCCTGCAACAGGGAGGAATAGGGAACGAGGGTCGGGAGGTATGTGGTTGGGCGTAGAGAGCACACAGAGCCTTTCAAGTCACTGCAAGGACTTCAAGTGAAGGTCAAATCCCTGAGGGCTCAGAGTCATGCTCAGACCCTTGAACTATCCTGATGCTCTGGATCTCTTTACTCAGGTTCTGAGATAAGAGCTTGCAACACAAATACTTCCTGCAATGAAGGAAATCTGTCATCCTGTTCAGTAAGGGAGCCACTGCTACATTGTGGCTGTTGAGCCCTTGAAATGTGTGGCTGGTGTTTCTAATGTAACTTACTTTGATTGAAACTTACATGTGTGTGCCCACGAGCGGCCAGTGGTTTCCACATTGGACAGTACAGCATTATGGGGTGGTTCTTTCACTCTGGCATTCATTCATTTTACAAACTTACTGACACATGCTGCTCTAGGTGCCAGGCTAGGCCTTAAGGTAATAAAAATTAATTTTAAGAAAATGAGAACCTCTACTCCTGAAGGACCCACAGAGCACACCAGATGCTGTGAAGCAGGGATGAGTGTGTGATACAGGCCTTGCGTCTGCAGGCACCAAGGCCTCCTTGCCAAGCTCCCCGTTCCTGGTTTTTATGTAGCTCAGCAGCCAGGGCCTTCTTACCCCTGCGTTTGCCCCTCTGCCGTGGGCCTCTCTGCCTGGCTGGTTCCTGTGTATCTTTCAGGCCTGAGCTGCAGGGACACCTCCTCAAAAGGCCCTCCCTGACCACTCCATTGAAAGTAGGTCCCCCCTCCATTATTCTCTGCTGTGGTAGCCAGCTTTCCTTCGAGGTACTTCTCCCACTTCGTGATTACACTTTAATTTATGTACTACCTAAAGCTGAAAGCTTCTCAGGCTCAAGGGTCTGCCCACCATGGCCGGCCCACACAGTCAGCCCATACATTCGGCCTATGGCGAATGCTGACCACACTGCAAATGGAGGAGGAGCAATGTCAGTGTAGGCAGTCCAGACGGCAGGGCAGGGTGGAGAGGAGGGCCCCCAACCCGGTTTGGAGAGTGTTTGGTGAGTCGGGAGTAGTCTCTCAGATAAACCTTAACTAGGACTTTTACAGGATGAACAGGAATTCGCAACATGGAAGTGAAGTTGCAGAAAGGCATTTCCCATGGAGATGGGAAGTGGAAGGAATGGAGGGAGGGACAGCGTCCGGGGGCCTGTGGGCGGTAAGTGGGGACCAGGGAGGGTGAGTGTGGACAACCTGGGGTACCGTGAAATGGATCCTTCAGGTCAGGAGTTGGCACAATTTTCTTCTTTAAAGAGCCCAAAGTACATAGTTCAAGCTTTGCAGGCCGTGTGGTCTCTGTTAAAGCTTCTGAATACCACCTTTGCAACCAAAAACAGGCTTACACAGTGTGTAAGTAACTGGGCGTGGGTGTGTTTCAATAAAACTTTATTTATAGATGCTAAAATATGAATTCCAGGTAATTCTCATGAGACATAAACTGTTATTCTTTTGATTTAAAAAAATCATTTAACTATAAAAACCATTCTTACCTCATGGGCCATAGGAAGATAGACAGCCGGCCACATCTGGGGGCACTAAAGAGTGTGAAGCAGGACAGGAGTGATCAGATCAGTAGTTCAGAAGGCTCCCACTGGCTTCAGTGGGATTTCAAGGGCCAGGTCTGAGGACAGTGGCAGTTTCTGTGAAGAGGCTGCTCAGCAGTCTGGGTGACAGATGGCAGGGGCCAGTTAGTTAGCAAGGATGGGAAAGAGGGGCCAGCTCTGAAACATACGTTGTGGAATTAAAATCAGCAGAACTTGGTGATGGGGTTACAGTGTAAGGAGTAAAAGAACAATGTTCCAGCTTTGTTTTACTTATCAGGTGCCCCAGCTCAGCAGGGCCCCTAAGCTCTCACTGGCCAGGAAAGGAGCACCGGGCATCTCAATGCGAAATTAGGCCTGGGGCCATTTATAGCATCTTCCTTTAACCTGCAAAGGGATTTAGTGTCAGTAAATAGTGACTCACTCACCTAGTCATAAGGTTACTCCTGTGGTAGAATAATTCTCTTTGTTGTTGAATGGATAATCTAATTCTAAGTGCTACCCTAGAAAAATGATACCCCAGTGGGAAATTTCTATAACTTCTGCTCAATAGTTCTGGGAACATGAAACTATTGCAAAAAAATTAAATCTGTTTTTTTAAAATGAACTCAGTCTAGTGCCGTTGAACTGGAGGACTATTCATGATATACTATCATGTGAATAAAGCAAACAGCAAAACTAGAAAAATAATACCCTGGTGATCTGTAATTATTACCTAGTTATTATTAACATTTTTTCACATCCTGTCACACTGAAAGAAGTAACTAAATAATCGCTTTCAAAGTACAGAACATAAACTCGGCTTCCTGTTTTATGAAAAAACCAAGGGGTAGACTTGAGGACAGTGATTTCAATGGAACTTGTTTTTTCTGTGTTTACCCAGGAATCCTTTAGCTTCTTCCAGATCTCAGCTGCTTTTGCCATCCCAGCAAACAGTGAAGATGGGGCAGAAATCTTGTAACCCCAATTGTTAGTAAATGTTGCATTACCATAAAATTGCATAAGTCATCTACGCAGCCCTACAAAGCCCCCTTCTCACCGCCCTGTGGTAGAGGACTTCTGTGTGAATGTTAACGAGAACTGAGTTCATTGATGCCATAACTTTGCACACGGCCTGGGGACAGGGAAGACCGGGTTAAATAAGAAAAGGAGTGTGGGGTAGTACGTCCTGCAAATCTGCATTAACGCGGCAGTGACAAGATCGGAGGGAATTGACTACATAGGGTCTGTGATGTCATATCCTTGATTTTCACGATGCTGGTTTTATCACTCTTTTGGCATTAGGTTTCTTCTATGGTATAGAGCAACCAAGTTTGGTTTCAGTATCACTTTTGTTTTTCTCTGCAAGGTTTCAAGGCATTTATTTGGCACAGACGTGTAGTCCCTAGGTCTAGGGATCTTTAGCTCTTCTTTATGGCTATCTAGTCCAGAAATGTATTAAGTCAGCATGTGAAAAAATGGGTAGGAAGATGATTGACTACCTGAAATTCACGGTATTGAAAAGGTTGCTTCAGTGTCATAAGGTGGCCGGCAAGTTACCAAGGTGGAGGTTCTTGAAGCAAAGGAAATCCTTTTCAGTGTGGTTGCCCCAGTTGTGGAAGAGCTTTGGATAGCAAGCGCTTCAGAAAACGACGTTTGTTGGAACAGGATGCATTTCTGGCTGTTCCAGGACATAGTCCTTTCATTGACGTCTGTTGTGATGCTGGAGTCTGGGCCCCTGTATCTCTTCTGGGTTATTACAGAGGCCTCTTAACTGGAAGCTTAGTCTTCAGTCTCGTCTCTGCCCCAGTTTGTCCTTCATCTAGAGCCAGATGTTTCTGTGATGTAAGTTTAATGTCCACTCCCCTGTTTAAAACCCCCATGCCTCCCCATTGCCCTCGGGGTAGAGAACAATCCTTTTAGATCGCTTCTAAAGCCACAGGGATCTGGCCCCTGCTGACCTTTCTGGCCTTGTCTCCCACGGAGCCCCAGGCCCCTCGTACTCTTCATCCAGCCCTCAGAACCTGTTCTGTTTTTTAGGAAGCACACATGGCTTTTTCCTGCCTCCGAGCCTTTGCACATGCTGTTCCACCAGTGCCCCCTTCATGCCTGCACCAGATGTCCCCCAGGCTTGGCACGTGCCCGTGTACTCCTTTTCTTCACCACTAGTGTAGTCATTTGCACAAGTACTCTGAATTCTAGGCACAGAGTAGCAGCTCAGTAAACATCTCTTGCACGAATTGAACATGCTCCATTCAGTTTTAATATTTTAACATTAATTTGGATCTGTCCATTTTCCACATTCAGTTTGTTTTCTTGCCAATATTATTGACTCAGCCTCATTTATCTTTTCAAATATGTACTTTTTTTTTCCTTCTGACCTTCTCTCCTCCCACTCTATGGGTTCTCCCTTTCTGTGACCTTTTGGACCACGTTTGGGTTGTCTTCATGATTACCAGCGGGCGATCCTGGGTTCGTCATATCAGTGTTCACCGGGACCTTTGCAGACTATGGCTGCACGTCTTTGAGCCTGCAGGATCTTTCTGCAGCAGCTTGAGTCTGTTCAGGCTGTGTTTGCAGGCAATGCTGGGACGGATAAAAGAGTATTGTGTTTGCTATACAATGTGTTAAAGGGATGGAATTTTTAGCTCAATTATTCGTTGGTGGGAGCAGGGAGGAGTGAAAATACAGTTTGTGAGGGCCAGTGGTTCTGAACAAAATAGGAAATCATGCAAAATAAAATGGGATCTCTAAGAAGGAGATTTTTCCCTTGTTAAAATTAATTGTATTTTGAGTGTAGACCTCAATTTTCTTATCATATTGCACTCGCCACCTCCTGTAGCTTCGACAGCAGAATCACTGCTCAAGGGGCCCAATTTGTTTTGTGTTGCTTTCTCCCCTGCAGAGGTCACCCTGAAGGTCCACGTCAGTGATGCCAGCACCCATCAGCCAGTCCCGGATGCGCGCATCGACATTTTCACCAACCAGGTCTCCATCGCCTCTGGCACCTCAGGGACAGATGGTGTCGTCTTCATCAAGTTCCGGTATAAGCTGGGCAGTCAGCTGATCGTCACCGCCACGAAACACGCCTATGTGCCAAACTCTGCCCCATGGAAGCCAATCCGATTACCTGGTAAGATGCTCTTAACCTTTCTCCAAGACAGAGTTCGTGGTCAGGCTAGTGACGGTCAGACACAGAAAGGATTTTGAAAGTGGAAGTCAGACAGTCAGGAAAATATTTGCCTGGTCTCTGCTTTACCTTGGGGGACCTCTTTACGGGAAGAAAGGCGGGGTTGGTCGTGAAGGTGGGGGCTCCACCTCACTATACGAACCGTGGCGTTGACGCCTTAGTGTGTCTGCTCACTTCCGCGGCGTCCTGTTCTGCACCTCACTGATTATAACTAGCCCGATGCATGGGGCAGTGCCCTGGTGTGGAGCTTCCTCGCGCAGGCTCCCTGGCCCTCGGAGCAAAGCTGGCCAAAGAGGAGGGGAGTCTTGGTGAGGTGGCCTTTCTCTCCCCTTCTTACCTGCTAAGGGAAAACACTTCTGTGTGTTTCCCCTCTCTCAGTGCTCTGCTGCATTTTGCACACTTCTCATCCCCAAACATGGGCTTCTTTCTGTACATGTCAGGCTATTCTCAGGTTCTCAGATACTACTGGGTGTCCTATAATTGAACTCAATTCTGACACTGTCAACCTGGAGACAGTGTCAGAACCCACAGGTTAAGGGATCAGCCCCATGTGACTGCCCCCTCACCCCCCACACACCGATTCAGATGCCAGTGGAAAGTCCAGGTCCATGCCCGTGCTTCTTACTGACCGGCTGTGTGTGAGACGGAGGTTCCCACACCTCCTCCCTGGGGGATGACTAACTTGCTGGAATGGCCCACAGAACTCAGAGAAACAGTTTACTTACTAGATTACTGTTTATTATAAAGGCTATTAGAGAAACAGGAAGCTTGAAAAGATGCATCAGGCAAGGCATGTGGGAAGGAGCACAAGACTTTCAGGTTCTCCAGGTGTGCACCCCTCCCAACACCTCCACATGCGCACCAGCCCAGAAGCCCTCCAAACCTGTCCTTTTTTGGGTTTTTGTGGAGGCTTCAGTACATAGACATGATTGATTAAGTCTTTGGCTGTGGGTGATGGAGTCAACCTCCAGGCCCTCTCCCCTCTCCTGAAAGTTCCCTCTTATGTGTGGTTGGTTCCTGGCAACCAGCTCCCATCCTTAGGTTATCCCTAGATAACCTAAGTGGGCTTTCCAAAGACCACTACAGTATATAATATTATGTTATGTCGTATTACATTATAGCATAAACTCCAGCATGGTTGAAAGGGGCTTATTATGAATAACAAAAGACACCTCTATGGCTCTCATCACTTAGGAAATGCTAAGGGGTTTAGAAGCTCTGTACTCAGAACGGAGTCCAAGACCAAATACATATTCCTTGTTTTAAGTCACAGTGTCACTTTACTATTCACCACTTCAAAGTGGTCGTCTGCCACAGGGAGCAGGAATGGTACCTGACACAGATTCAGCTTGGGGTGGGGTAGGTGGGGAGCAGCCCCTAGGTCTCTTCTGTCCCCTCACTTAAGGCTCCATCTGGTGCACAGACCACATCCTGTGTTCACACCATTAGATGAGCAATAAGGATGGGCTGATGGCTGGCAGGATAATGGAAGGAGCGTGGGTCTGGGACACCAGATGACCTGGGTTCTGACTCCCAGCCTGTCCTTGAGTCTCTGTACAATGGAGCTAATACCACCTCATGGAGTTGTTCTGATTAAAAAGTATTGAACATATGCAAGCTAGCTTACAATGCCTAAGACACAGTAGGTGCTCTATAAATATGTGGCACCCAGTACAGTGCCTGGTAAAGTACCCACGTTAATGCTCGTCTCTGTGCCACAGAACACTGGACACACTCCATCCAGGTCCCTGCTGCCCCTGGGGATGCGTGGGAGCTAAGTGTGGGGTGTATGTGTGTGTGTGTGTGTGTGTGTGTGTGTGTGTGCGCGTGCACCTGGGAGGACTGTTAACCAGCCTAGGTGAGTGAATGAGGGCTTCCGAGAGGGCGTGAGAGGGGACCTGAGTCTTGAGAATGAATAGTTATTAGCACCAGGAGGTGTTTGTAAAAACATGCAGATGTCAGGACTCAACCATTCATTTGGGGAGGCTGACCCAGGAGTTTGCATTTTAACAAACAACCCCTCTTCTCCTATGGATGAAAGTTTTCACTAGAGGTTGAAACCACGGTTTTGAGAGCTATGGAAGGTCACATAGACATTGCTGAAGAGACCATTTAGGGTAATTTTAGAAAAATAGGGATAAATTTGAGAAATATTGAGCAGTCAAAATCCAGAAAGCCCCAAGAAATCACAAACAGGGATGCCTGGCATGAGAGCTAAAACAGGAAGGCAGCGTGGTGTCGCCTGGCTTGGCCTGACCTGGGAATGTGCTCGTCAGAGACGCAGGTCTGTAACTGCTCTCCACGTGCATGGGTGAAGCTCCACGAGTATTGATTTGGAGATTGCAGATACGTCTTAGCGAGGGGGCTCATTCACAGGTAATGAGGATCAACTGTAATTTATTCATTTTGATGTTGTTTAACATGATCATTTGAGGAAAAGCAGCCATTCTCCTAGTGTACATTTTCTTAAATTAGTCAAATAATGGGGACAGTGTAGTTTACGTGGAAAAGTTTTGGACTAGGCATGAAGATTCCTAGGCTCTCCCGTGCCTGCCCCAGCCGGCCCTGCACCTGTGGGCCCATCATGGCTCTCTGAGCCCACGTTTCTCATTTCTAACCTACATTAATAAGACTGAATTTCAAGGGTCCTCCTGTGTCTCTGGTTATTTTTTCGCTGGTTGCCTTGTCAACATAAGAAAGATTCTTTTGACTAGACTCTCAGAAAATGTGGCCAAAATTTAGACTGGTCTATTGTGAAAAGCAGAGTAGATTATTTATTTTTTTCATGCATAATTTTGGAGGCCAACACTAGCACTTCTGGTATTCCAGATAATTGGACAAGGAAGAGAAAAGTTGGGAGCCTCTTCTAAAATGTAGGGGTGGATGAACAGGTTAAATTATCAGCTGTCGTTACCTGAAAGATAAATTATAAGTAAGGATATGAAATAATGACAATAATAATAAGGCAAATAATATAATAGTTAATAAATAAAAGAATAAACTTTCACATACTCACAACTGTAAACCTTCTTTTGCCCACCCTGCATGTTAAAAACTTGAAACTAAAGAAAACAAATGCTTTCTTTACTACATTTGCACACATGGTTTTGTTTGAGTAAGCATGCTTATGAGATTTTGGAATGAATTTCTTTTTTCATCCTTGACTAGTTCCTGGAAGATACATATATTTTTCTCTTTCAAGGAAGGAGGTATGGATTCAAGGTGGGTCAGCTTGGCAAACAGGTAAAACAAATTTAGCTATATAAAATGTAATCCATCAAGTAAGGACTGTAATTCCACATCTTAATTATTTTCATCTCCATAGTGATTGCCCCTGGACCTTTTGCAGTGGTCCAGGACTATTGCAGCAGCGGCTGGCTCGCTCAGTCTGCCTCTTCAAACCACTCTCTATTTTGCTAAGCATTTGTGTCATTTTATATATAGATAGATAGATATGTATATATATATTTGTGTGTGTATGTATGTGTATACACACATATACATACATACATATACAAAGTCTGTCCAGAAAAAGACCAGCTATTGTTAATATAACAAGAACAGTGTGCTTGTCGTTGATGTAACCTGGCAGCCAAGGAGAGTGGACTGGAATGCACATGTGTGAAAAATGACAACTTCGCTGTACTAGTCAGTGGGGCAGTAGACTCTGTTGAGTGAGCATGTGTACTGTGTGGCTGTCACATTCAAAATGACAGAGTAGAGCAACGAATCTGCATAGAATTTTGCATTCAACTTGACATTCGTCCATGGAAACTATTCTGATGATTCAGAAGGCCGCAGCTATGGGCAACTGGCGATTGGCAGCTTCATTAGGACTACACATTGGTTCATGCATTGTGTCTGGTGCAGTTTTTTGGCAAAACATCATCACCCAGGTGTCTCAGCACCCTCTACAGCCCAGATTTGGCAGAAGTCACCCTGTGACTTCTGGCTTTTCCCAAAACAAAAATCACCCTTGAAAGGGAAGATTTTTCAAACTGTTGATGAGATTCAGGAAAATACAATGGGGTAGCTGATGGCAATTACAACAAAGGGTTTTGCAAAGTGTTTTGAACAGTGAAAGAGACTCTGGGAGAACTATGTGAGGTCTACAGGTGCCTACTTGGGAGGGGACTGAGGCATCATTGTCTATGTACAATGTTTCTTGTATCTTATGTCTTCTTCAGTAAATGTCTCTATTTTTCATAGTACACGGCTGGATACTTTCTGGACAGACGTCCTGTGCATATCATTTTGCCATGTATAATGTGCACCCACATTTTTGGCCCAAATTTTCGGGAAAGAAATATTTTGTTTTAATTTTTAATTCAATTTTTATTTAGTTATATTTAGAAATTAAATCTATTATATTTCAGGGTCTTATTCTGCCTATGAATATCATTATTGCTTTCTGGAGTTACACTTTTAATGCATAAGCATAAACAAAAGAATTGAAAATACTTATATAAATACAGAATTAGTAATACACATGTATAATGCACATCCTTATTTTTCCCTCAAAAATTCGGGTAGAAAAGTCACATTATACATGGCAAAATACGGGTATATGTATACACTCACACGCGCGTGCGTGTGTGTGTATATATATATAAAGTTACACATCTGCTTAAAGTCTTTTGTGTCCTCGGGATAACGTTTAGATGAAGTTTAGACTAAACACAACACACAGACCCCCCTGCCCTAGCTGCTTCTCCCCTACATACGTCACAGTCCAGTCATCCTGAGCAATTTGCTATTCTCTGCAGGAATCTGACATTATACTCTCTTTGCGTTTGCCTGCACTGTTATTCCTCTACCATTGTTCTCTTGGAAAGTGTGTCTTCCATTCTCAAGTGCCCAGTGTGGCATCAGATGTTCCCGACTCTCCCAGGTAGGGTCAGATGTCCCTTCCTCTCTGCCTATCGGAGAACACACCTCTCCTTGGCATGACAAGAACCTCCAGCTGCTAGTCAGCATCTCCCCTGTGATGGTTAAAATACCATCTACCAGCAGACCTGAGCATCTCTGCCACCTCCCTCCCACTGGGGCACTCGGTCCATTGGAGGTTCACGGTCCCCTCCCTCCTGCTTCAGAAAGCCTCTTCTGGTGCCTTTGCCACTACACCACACACTTATGACAAGAAATTGGCTTTTTTCTCCTATACAAAATAAGGTTTGAGAAACAGTTTGCTAGAACAGATGCTTCGTGTATGGAAGTACCAAATGTTTATGTTAGAAATGTTTTTTAAACACCTTGTGATGGTCACACATCTGAGATGAGCACAGGTGGTTTCAGAGCTCAGAGTTCCCCACCTGCTCCCCTACCAGCACAGAGACCTTGAACCCTCTCATGGAGCAGGGCAGTGTCCAGGCACCTGCACTTGGAGACGTAGGGAGTGCAACACCTGCCTGAGCTTTGAGGTGAGTAGTTTCCTACAGGCAGAACAATTGGGCCCTTTCTCTCTGGCCATTAGGCATTGCCCCACCAGGTGAAGGGGTCATTGTTAACGAAGGTTAAGTTTACCTTCGAAGTGGTTTTGCAAGATTTGTCTCAGTTAGGGTTCCTCCCATCAGTTCCAGCTCTCAGGCATTACCTGCTCTCCCTCCCCCCTCCCCCCTCCCCCAGCCTGGTGTGGATTATTCTCCCAACGTTGAACCCCTGAGGTGGATTCTTTTTTTCTCTCTTAATACTTGTATTTATTTTGTAATTAGAACATAATTCATATACCATAAAATTCACCATTCTGAAGTGTGCAGTTCACAAGGTTATGTAACAATCACCACTGTCTGATCCCAGAATATTTTCTTTACCCTCAAAAGTACCCACACCCATTTGTATCAGCTTATTCCTTCTTACTCCCTCCAGCCCCTGGCAACCACTCATCTTTCTGTCACTATGGATATTGCAGGTAAATGGAATCCTGTAATACATGGCCTTTTGTATCTGGCATCATTCATTTAACATAATGTTTTCAAGGTCCATTCATGTCGCAGCCTGAATCAGCACATTATTCCTGTTTATGGGTGAACAATATTCCATTGTGTGGATAGACCACACTTTGTTTTCCTTTTCATTGGTTGATGGATATCGGGTTGTTTCCACCCTTTGGCTATTATGACTAATGTTGCTGTGGACATTTATGCACAGCTTTTTCTGGGAACATATATTCTCAGCTCTCTTGAGTATATGCCCAGGAGAAGAATTGCTGGCTCACGTGAAAACTGTGTTTAACATTTGGAGGAACTGCTAGGTGTCTTCGGTAGCACCACGATGCCTTCTTAGCTTTCTCCTGGCACTTTCCACGTAGCCCCCTCCTAATGAAGAGCCCTGGGAGGCAGTTTGCCTACAGCTCTGATTTATTCCACACATGGACCACTGGGCCTTGTACATAGTGGCAACTAAGTACGATGCTTCTGTAGAGGGGTTATCTCCAAGGCCAGCTGACTGGTTCCCTTTTGCATAACTAAGAGCCAGTAGTGCTAAGTCACTGATATTCTTAGCATTTAATATTTCTGGTTCCTAGTATTTTCCCAGAAAGTCACTTTATTGTTCCAGGCCTAATGTTTGTCCTCTTTTAACGTAGACACTTGAACTTTGAATATGAGTTCTTGAAGCATGGCAGTTGAGAATAGACTCCAGACTTCAAATCCCGTATTTGAAGGGCCCCAGTATTTACTACCTGCATGATCTTGGACAAGTTAATCCCTTATATATAAACCTGTTTCCTTACTTGTCAAATGGGTATGTTAATAATGCCTGTTGCACAGAGTTATTTTGAGACTTCAATAAATCACCAAAATTAAAACACTTAGAATAATGTCTGGCAAGTTAGGAAGGATTCAATAATGTTAGTGATTATTATTCCATGATATATTTATTTGTTTTCTCTAAAATTCACATTTTACTCAGAAACTTATAGGTTTTGTGAATCTTTTAGTTAGAAGTCCAGGGATACTTAATTTTTTAAATAGCACAAGTATTGGAAACCTATTTGAAAAAATAATGACAGAAAACTTCCTAAACTTGGTGAAGGACATAGACCTGTAAGTCCAAGAAGCACAGAGTTCCAAACAAGGGGAACCCAAAGAGGCCCACTCCAAGACACATCATAATTAAAATGCTAGAGGTTAAATACAAAGAATCTTAAAAGCAACAAGAGAAAAGCAGTTAGCTACAAGGAAGCTCCCGTAAGACTGTCAACTGATTAAAAAAAAAAAACCTTGCAGGCCAGAAGGTACTGGAAAGAAGTATTCAAAATCATGAAAGGCAAGGACCTACAACCTGCATTACTCTACCTAACAAAGCCATCATTTAGAATCAACATATAAAGAGCTTCCCACACAAAAAAAAGTTAAAGGAATTCATCACCACCAAATCAGTGTTATATGAAATCTTAAGCCTTAACATTTCCTAAACTTTTTGGAACCAGGGACTGGTTTCATGGAAGGCAATTTTTCCATGGATGGGGTAGGAGGTGGGTGGGCGGGGGGCATGGTTTCAGGATGATTCAAGTGCATGACATTCAAGCCCACCTCCTGCTGTGAGGCCCAGTTCCTAATAGGCACAGACCAGCACCAGTCCCAGTCCACAGCCCAGTCTACATGGAGACCCCTGCATCAAAGGGTCTTCTTTAAGCCCTGGGTGGTGTGGCTCAGTGGACTGAGTGCTGGCCTGTAAACTGAAAGGTCACCGGTTAGATTCCCAGTCAGAGCACATGCCTGGGTTGCAGGCCAGGTCCCTGGTAGGGGGTGCGTTTGAGAGGCAACCACACAGTGATGTTTCGTTCCCTCTCTTTCTCCCTCCCTTCCCCTCTCTCTAAAAAAAAGTAAATAAATTAAATCTTTAAAGAAATAAATAAAAAGATCCTACTTTAAGAAGATTAACAATATGAATAAAATGGCAATAAATACATATCTATCAACAGTTGAATCTAAAAAAACAAAATAAACAAACAAGCAGAACAGACACAGAATCCTAGATACAGAAAACATTTTGATGGTTGCCAGGCGGGAGGAGAGTGGGGGCTCGGTGAAAAAGGTGAGGGGATTAGGAGGTACTAACTGGTAGTTACAGAATAGCCATGGGGATGTAAAGTACAACAGAGGGAATAGAGTAGCCAAAGAACATGTATGCATGACCTGTGGACACGAACCAGTGTGGGGATTTCCTGAGGGCATTGTGGGGGCTGTGTGGAAGGGGCCAAAGCGGAAAAATTGGGACAACTAGTGCTGTTGTAATAGCATTAACAATAAAGTATCATTTAAAATAAATAAATAAAATAAAACAGCATGAGTTCTGTCATCTTGTAAGTTCCCAGAATATTTTTTTACCACCAGATACACAATAACCTTAGCACATGGTTTTGAAGTCTTTCTTAATGTTAATATCTAATGTTATATATATGAGTACTCTACCTGTTTATAGTGTGTATATTGTAACTTTTTATAAGTTCCTATGTGAAGAGGTTGGGATGCTTCACTAAAAACTTTTAACAAATAAAACAATGGCTGACGGCTGTAGGATAAACCCTATCACGTGAGGGATGGCAGCACCCCCGGGACAAGGCGAAAGTCTCTCTGGAAGGGAAAGCTGTTTCCCTGTCTCCCTTCTGACACCAAACGAATGGGTGTTTTCCTCAAACCAGTCAGTTCTCCAACTCTCTGGACCCCGACTGCGTGTCCTACCAGCAGTCACTTCAGTTCTGACGTTAACCACCCAGAGTTAGTGCGGACCTCACAGGCTAAGGGCTCAGTCCCACAAGACCCTCCCCCATTTCAGACTTACGTCCCAGGTTGCCTCTCGTACTTCTGACTGACCATCCAAAATCAAGGCTTTCCATGAGCCCCCCTCAGGTTCAATAATTTGCTACATGGCTCGTAGGACTCAGGGAAACATTTAACATATGTTTGCCAGTTCATTATAAAGTGCATTGTAAAGAATACAGGTGGACAGCCAGGAGAGGCACATGGGGTGAGATCTGGAAGGGTTCTGAGCACAGGAGCCCCTGTCCCTGTGCAGTTGGGGTGCTTCTCCATCCTGGCACACATGTATATTCGTCAGCCCGGAAGTGCTGCAGATCCCCTACTTTGGGGATTTTCCTGGAGACTACATCACATAGGGATGACCTGACATTAACTCAGTCTCCAGCCCTTTCCTTCTCCCAGAGGATGGGGGTGGGGCTGCAGATGCCAAGGTTCTAATCATGGCTTGATCTTCCTGGTGACCAGCCCCAATCCAGGAGCCACCCAGAGTCCCCTCACTAAAAGCAAAGACACCCCTGACACCCCCATCACTTGGGAAATTACATGGAATTTAGGAGCTCTGTGTCAGGAACCAGGGCAGAGACTAAATATGTCTTTATGTCACAATTTGCTTATATCTATTTCTGTGTCTGCAGTGTTTTCTTCCCTGAGCCTCGGTCTGCTTCCGGAACGGTCCGCCACTCTAATGGTTTATGAAGATGTTGTCCAGATAGTCTCAGGATTCCAAGGTATGTTGACTATGTGAAAAGAGAAGCGACAGACACTTTAGGGCCAACTACTAAAATCTTTAGAGGAACGGCTGATTGTCAGATAGTGATGGCAGTGAACTTATCCAACGCTGGAACACAGTGCATTTGAATTTTGGTCAAACTCTCCGTGGGCTGTTAAACTGTGCATTGGTTGTGATCTCGTTTTGTAGGCACAGCTGTTAAATACTGAGAGGAAAGAAGGGGCCCCACCACTCTGCCCATGCCACACCTCTCTTTCTCCAAAGGAGAGAATGTCCACCTCCGAGGTCAGAGCCAGGACCCGGCCTGTGCCTCCCTGACCAGTAGACAGGGTCATTCTTAAAAGGACTGTCTGCACTCCAGTGTACGGTTTGTTTGCAAAATGAAATGGTTCTAGAGATCTGTTGCACAACAATGTAAATACGCTTAACACCACTGAACTGTACACTGAAAAATGGTTAGGATGGTACATTTAATGTTGTAGGTTTTTACCACAATAAAATGTACCAGCCCCCACCGCCAAAATGGAAAAATGTTCGTGAGCATTCAAGTGTGGCTCTTCGTCCTCTGTTGTCCCCTAGTTTAATCCATGTCATGTGCAGCGATGTGTGTGACTATGCCTCCCCCCTTCTAACCTCTTTTGAGGGGACACAGAGAGCTTGAGGGACTCTCCCTTTGGTTGATGTTGGGTTACAATTGAGAATAAAGCTTGTGTCAAATGAGTTTCTGTGCTGAGATCATTTTCCACCTAAGTCATGGGCCTCAAAATGCTATTTCCTGGATTTTAATGCTTCACCACATTAGTTTTTATTTACTTTACTTGTGTGTTCTGATGCCATTTACACTACTAATTCTTTACCTAACCACATTCGTGTGCCGTTTGTGAGTGCACTGAACTCATTTGTTCTTTTTTCATTAAGTAGCTGAGGTGAGCGTGTAGCTGCTGCTCTTAGAAGATGGGTTGGAAGAGAAAATGAGTGGACATGTCCAGCAGACTTGTAACTCGAGGTGGGGAGAGAACACAGTGAAAGCCACGAGGCACCATCTTTCTCTCCCCGAGAGAGCAGACCTAGGCCCTCGACTCCCATTCTCATTACAACCACACTGTAGCCTGAGCTCGTCCACCTTGGTCCCTCCAACTTTTCTTTGATTAGCTCTGCTATTATTGTTTCACAACTAAAAAATAATGGTTTTCCTTTTTTCCTAGTTTTATTACTATATAATTAACATATAACCTTGTATTAGTTTTAGGTATACAACATAATGATTTTATATATATACACACACACACTTATATATATATATTATTGCCATACTATGTCTAGTGAACACCTATCACCACACATAGTTACTAGTTTTTTTTTCTCACGATGAGAACTTTCAAGATCTACTCTCTTAGCAACACTCAGATGTACAACACAGTGTTGTGAACTGTAGGCGCCAGGCTGCGCGTCACGTCCCCAGGGCTGACTTATTTTATAACTGGAAGCCTGTGCCTTTTGACCCCCTTCATCCATTTCGCCCACCCATCACCCCTCCCCCCGCCTCTGGCCGTCACCAGTCTGTTCTCTGTGTCTGTAAGTTTGTTTGTTTTTGAGATTCCACATATAAGTGATGCCACACAATATTTGTCTTTCTCTGACTTACTGTATTTAACATAATACCTTCAAGGTCCATCCATGTTGTCACAGGTAGCAGTATTTTTTCTCTTTGTAGCTGAATAGTTCTCCATCGTCTATACGCACCACATTTTCTTTATCCACTCACCCACTGACGGACACTCAAGTTGCTTCCATGCATTGGGGATGATAAATAATGCTGCGGTGAACATGGGGGTGGACCATAGTTTTTACTAACACTGGAAACTGTAGTCTTTCGCTAGCCCAGTTGAAATGATAGCAAGAGACTAACCGCTGTAACTAATGTCTCGAATGCAGACAAGCTATGCTCACATTTACTTCAGGGCGTAAGAGGGCTTTTTCTGTGCTTTTCCCTGGAGATGGGAGTCAATTGGTGCCTTGCTCTCCATCCTCAGCTGCCTGGGGGCTTGTACCCCCACCCCCCACAGTGGGGCCAGGGGCTGGAGTCCAACCAGGAGAGAAAAGCTGGAGCCATCAGCACTTCTTCCTCTTTCTTTTAATGTGCTAAGAACCTAAAAGTGAGAATCTCAGCTGAAATGTCCTGCGGTGCAACAGGTCTGCAGCCCGGCCAGGCCACCCACAGCCCAAGTGAGAAAGGAATAGAAAGTATGAGTGAGGAAAGGAAGCCAGGTGGTGGCAGGGGCGAGAGAAGCGGACTGGGGATCGGTGGCGTCCTGTCAGAGCGGCAGCATTCCTCTGAAACCCGCAGACTCCCGCCTTGTCACCCCAGAGTGGCCCTGAGCTGGCCCAGAACCAGGTGCCGCTGTGCCTTCCATCCCTTCTTGTTCTTACCTGTAACTGGAAGCAGGGATTGAACCCTCCAGCTGGGGGTTCTCAATCTTATCATGCTACCTCCCTTTCCGCCATATATGGGAGTATGCCTTACCTCCCCAAATAGAACTTTTAAGCCTGAAGTGCAAGGAGTATGTCATCTTCATCTTAGGGCCTACAGGGCCAGCCTGGTCAAGTGCACACCTGAGCTGACTTACCAGGCCCTTTACAAGCCTCGTCCTCTGCCCCTGGGCCCCCGCAGCCTGCACTTGGCTCCCACAGAGTCCTCAGCCTTCCTGACACACAAACCTTCCTCCAGGTGCGCAGTCACTTCCATCTGCCTCCGCACAGTCTTGCATACAAGTAGCACCTACAGAACTTCTTTTCTCTGGGACAGTTGGTGGCTCTCTCTTGAAGTTTCTCCTGTACTTTTTTAAAGCACAGGTCTCTTGTTTTAGTGTTGAAAACACTGTGAGAACTAAGCTTTTTCCATGGCTATCTTCTTTGCTCTTGAGTTCCAGACGTCAGAGCCTGTGTTTTTTCCCTTCCACAGCCTGAGCCCGTTGCAGGGGGACCCTCGTTCATGTTTTTGGGTGGGTGTGAGGGTGCTCCCAGTGTCTTGTACAGTGGTTTTCAGTTGAGGGCACTTTTGTCGCCAGGGACGTTGGACAATGTCTGGTGATGTCCTAACTTGGGAGCCGCTACCGGCATTAAGTGGGTATAGGCCACTCATGCTGTTGGACACACTGAAATGTGCGGGATGGCCCCTGTTCCCCCAAAAAGAGCCACCTGGTCCGAAACATTAATGGTGCCGAGACTGAGGAGCCCTGACCCAGTGGGAACTGAGGTGGACCATTATTAGTACACAGTGAGTTGCTCAGTATAGCTCAGCTGTACATTCAGTGCTGTAAACTTTGTTGGGTACCAGCTATACACAGGATGCAGTGTGATGGGTTGCACAGAGTACCTGTGATGAGGGAGCTTCCATCTAACAGGGGAGAAGAGATGGGAAACCCGTTGCTTATCCTGCACCTGTTATATACCAAGAGGTGTACCGTTAGGTGTCCCGCATATGTGTACTGATCTAGCACCCTAACAACCGTGTCGTGAGACAGATGTGATTTATGCCCATTTTAAGGATAAAGAACCTGAAGGCCAAAGTCACTGAACTAGAAGGTGGCAGAGGAAAGATTGAAAAATACAGCTAAGTGATTCCACCGCCCGTGTTCTCCTCCAATGGCGCCTCTGATCAGGGAGATGTGCAGATATAAGCATAATACAGGACAGGGAAAGATCAGTGCTGTGGGAAAGATGGAAATAGAATTTTGACCTTGGGGTGGGATCAGGAAAGGCTACACAGAAGAGGCAACATGGACGAATGTTGATTTGCAAGTAGAGGATGGGAAGAAGCTTTGGCCATGGAGCAGAGTGTGGATGCCCAGGAGCAGAGAGCTGGGCAGGCCCACTTGGCAGCGGCTGGGAGCAGCCTGGCAGGGACAGACCATCTCTTCTGGTGTCGGCCTGGTGTTCCGGGAGGGGTACGGAGGTTAGAATGGAAAGAATTCATTCTGCCCCCTACACACAGAATGACCTTGGGCAAGTCACTTATCCTCTTTGAGCCTCGATTTTCTCACCTACAGAGGCAAGAGTTCCTTCTTCACATGACTGTAGTGAATATTAAATAAAATAATGTGTATGTAGAAACTTCTTGAATTCTTAAAATGCTGAATTTATGGGCAGATGGAGTAGTAGTTTAGGTCTTAGTTGGTCTCTCATGGTTGCTGCCATTGTTCATTGGTAAGTGATATGGGTCCGTTGAAGATTTCTTGGCAGGGAAAAGATGTAATCAGAGTGGAATTTTAGAAAAGTCAGTATGTGAGCAGATGAAAAGGGATAAGTCTGAAGCAAGGGGCCAGTTAAGAGACTTTTGCAATAGTTAAAGCCAGGGGTAATGTGGGGTCGTGGGGGGTAGAGGCAGAGGGGGAGGAAAAGATGATGCTAGAAAGGTTAACCAAGGAAGATCGGCCAGTCCTGGCCCCTGAGCCAATGTGCAGGATAGTAGGAAGGGCAAATGATGGTGCCAACCTGGAATCACACGTGAGGGTGGGGAAAATGGGCTATTGTTCAGGGGGCAAGGCAGAGGAGGATTTTAGAGTGCTTGATGGGCTTCCGGGTTGCAGTGTCTAGAAGGCAGAGGAAATGCAGACACGGAGCATGGCAGAGAGTCTCAGGCCAGAGGGGAAGGTGACAGCCCAGTGTGTGGCAGTGGAGGGGAGTCGGTAGGCATAGAGCCCAAGAACAGCAGCGGCATCGACAGCAGGGGCTGTTCCATCGGAGGGAGGAGGAGGAGGGAGAGAAAAGTACTCGCAGAAGGAAGAGTGGGCTGACTCTGGAGAGACCAGAGTTCAGGGCCATGAATGCCGAGGAGGAGGGTTGCTGGGCGGGGGCGGTGAACAGTGTTGACCATTGTGAAGAGGTCGGCGAGGAGGCCAGCTGGGAAATGGCCATAGGGTTAGCAGATTGCACAGTGGTCAGTTGACCTCGCCCAGGGCAGAGAGTGTTGGGGGTAGAAGCCACGTCACTGGGGGGCGGGTGGAAGGAGAGAAGACACCTGCTTATGGAAACAACAGTTAAAGTCATGTTTTATTGTTATTTTTGTAGATGAGGATGCAATGGGTATAATTGTTGGTTGGGGAGAAAAAGTCCATAAGAAGATTGCTCATGAAGGCAAAAATAGTTGGTTCAGCCAAGTCTTACAATAAAACAAGCAAGAGTTTGGGTACTTGGGTTGACCTTGGAAGAAAGCAGGGACAGAGAGAAGAGGGAAGGAAGATTTTAAGGTGCTGAGAGAGGACAGGGTGCCCCAGTGTTTTCATTAGAGGGGGTCCGAGCATTTTGAGGATGGCGGTTGAGAAGAACAGAGGAAGGCCGAGACAGATGCAGCGGGGAGTGGGCGGGAGGCATCCGGAGAAGACGGACAGACTGTCCCGTCCACTCTCCTTCTCCCTTCCTGAAAGGTGGGGAATTTAGCCACTCCAATACGAAGATGAACTTGAGGACATTATGCTCCCCGAACCCCCACACACCACTTCAAATTTTATTTACACCATGGCTCAGAATAGCCTCAACCCATACACCCCTCAGGTGTTTTCTTGGTCATTTCCCCAGGCAGGGGGGCCTTGCCGGAGCTCTATGGTGGCGCACGTGCTTGGTGCCTCAGCAGACAGTGCCCAGGCCTTGCTGGCCACAGCATGTGTCAAACCAGCAGAGCCAGCCACGTGCCCCTGTAGCAAACCTGCCCCAGCATGGCCCCTCTGTGCCCCCACCCCCAGCCACAGCAGACAGACCCAGATGTCTGGCCGTGGTCCAACTTCTCCTGAACAAAAGGGAATGGAGACAGCAGGGTGAGAGAAGGGATGGGGTCGGGAGTGGAGAGATACATCTCCCACTAAAAAGCATAACACATTAGAGAACAAGAGCAGGTAGAAGACAGACAGACAGGCACAGAACTGGGACAAGATCCCAGGGGCCCCTGGGAGCTGGAGAGCAGCCTTGGTTGTGGTTTCCGGGTCCCAGGCCAACCCCCTAAGGCTGGGCTGGGGTGCTTCCCTTGGGTGCAGTGTGACTCCCTTCCCCTTGTCCTGGTCTAGTCCCCTTACCCCCTGGTGTAATCAGGGGGACGTCACAAGGAGCTCGACCTGCCCGTCTCACAGGGGCTATTCCTAGGCCCCAAAGGGGGCATGTGTCCCCCCTGTTTGGGGTAACCCGTGGGACTAACCCTCACAAGGACAAGTGCCCTCTTTGCCCTGTCACACTTTAGACCTGTCACTATTTATCTTAGTTGGTCCTTTGTCCCCCCACTGTGTGAAACCCAGGCATCAGCAACATCTTTAAGCTGACAAACAGTGGAGAAAGGGAAAGTAAGTCTCAAAGTTCACTCTCACTGAAAAAATATATCAGGAGCAATGACTGCTGCTCTATAGTTGGGGGTGAGGAGGGGAAAAACAAGGGTTGGCTTTGACTTTCTGTCTCCAAGGGCAGCAGGGAGGAGGACCAAAGAGGCCACAGTACATGTGGGGAGTGGAGGGAAGGGACTGTGAGACGCAAACAGCTCCTAGCCTGGGAAGCCTGTGACATTCAAACAGTGACAGCAGGAAGGCTGAGGAAAGAAGACCAGACCAAGAAGAGATACAAGTTACAAGATGTACAAATAAACATATTACCTGACATATGGCTGCTAGTACATGACGAAAGGTCTGTTTCAGGGGTAAAGATAGGGCACTGATGTTCTGAGCAGGGCTGGTGCGTGTGCCCCCTTAGTTTCAGTGGTGACCAGAGTTGCACAGGACTGTCATGGCTTTGGGCCCCCAGCTGCCATGGGCCCTGATGTTGGGCCAGTTTTATGGAGTGGAGAAGCAGTCCTTTGAGAAATCTAATCAGTGGTTTTTAGGAGTTTGAGGAGTACCATGACCACCTCAGTCATCCATGGTCAAGGCAGCCCACCCCACACATCAGTGTAGGCGGTCAGTCCTGTGGGCTCCCACGGTCTCACCTGTGGGAAGAGACATGGGCTAGTTGCCCCTTTGAGCTGTAAAACTCCCTTGTTCTAGAACACTTCTAGGTAGGTGTATCCCCTTGAAAATTTCCGGTCTGCAGTTAAAATGAATCCTCAAGCATAAAGATGACCAACTCTGAGTGGGGCTTTGGGTCAGACCACCATGGGTTGGGGAGAGTGTGACCCCCACCAGCCACGCGGTCCAACTCCACCTGGGGTGGCATGAATGACGACCAGGGTGTCAGGACCGACTCTTGCCTTTGAGCAACCAATTTATTCGGGAGGAATATGTACTTTTGTAAGTAAATGCTGTGATTCCCATTTCTATTAATTTTTGTCTAAATGATGTTTTTGCTGGGTTTACGCAAAATGACTTGGCACCTTTTCATCACGTGACTGTCACCACAGCATTAGGTAAAACAGGTTCAGGTGTTACAATCAAAACAACATCGAGAGCAAAGCCAAACTGCAGATGATGTCACAGGGTAATGACAGGCGCTTGTCATCTCCACCGTCCTTCTGCACAGAATTGGGCCTGGGGAAGGAGCATCGCTTCACATTATTAAAAGAGCCTCGTCGTAAAATCTGCACCGTAATCTGTCACCAATAGGATGCGCCCCACCAGAGGAGCCTGGGTGCCAAACGGCGGCTGCCACAGAAGGACAAGCGCTCGTTCCTGTCGGGCCCTTTTTTGCATTTCTTGTCCGGCTGCAGATTTAATTCCCTGGCTCTGCTTCAGTTGGGTCTGGGAGTTTGACCAGATCTTCAGAGAGAGAGGGATGTGTTTGCACCCCCATCGAAGGGTATCTCTTGCCTCATTTGTGTAAAGACGTTGTCATCTGCTTCTTTCCCAGGATGTTGCCCTGACCACGGGCAAATGCCGTGCAGTGCAAAGACCGCTCACAAGTAGTACTTGGAAAGCTTTTTGTTAAAAACCTAAATAACATCCTGTGTTGAAACGAATGTGACAATGGGCTATTATTTCTATCCCCATAATAGCGTGTTGTCACATCTCAGTGTCCTGCGTGAAGGGGGGATGGGAGGCAAGGAGGGGAGGGCCGGGGGCAGGGGAAGCCCTGCTGAGACCTTAAAGAAACACTTCCTCCTTTGGCATTTTCTGAAAACAGAAACTGCTCCTTGGGGATGTAACTCAAAGGCTAATTTCTGCAGGTGCCCGGCCGCAGCCACGCGTTCATTTCCAGCGGAGGTCACTGCGGCTGCCCGAGAACACCAGCTACAGCGACCTGACCGCCTTCCTCACTGCCGCCAGCTCCCCCTCCGAGGTGGACAGTTTTCCATACTTGCGAGGATTAGATGGAAACGGAACAGGTAATTTGAGTCTCTTCTTTTTTCAGCCAGGCTTCGCATGGCTTTGCATGTGGCTTGAAGTGTTTGCACTGAATGGGAGAATTGAAGTCGAGAGGGGGAAGGGAGCTCTTTCTCCAAGTTCAAGTACGTTGAAACTGTTACTTAAGGAATTTACTCTGCATCACTGCTGAGTTTTACTGACTGTCTCCTTGAGCCTTCTGCTGGTACCAACTGCCTTAAGCACTTTCTCTGAGCTCTCCTTTGGTAAACTGACTATATTTAATTCAGAGTAGTTTTTTTTAATTAAAATTGTAATTCATTTTAAGTATAAGGTCAGAGTTAGTGGTTTTCTGCCCCTCTGTCCTCAGCCTCTCTCCCCCTGACCCTGGGACTGGGTGTTTGGTGGCGCAGCCTGCCTTGCTGACCTTTGCAGAGGTGCACAGCCTCAGCCACCCACCACCCACCTGTCGGTCACAGCCGGGAGGGAAGGTGGCACTGGGGCTGATCCAAGGTGAGCAAACCAGTGTTCTCCACCCCAAAAATATCAGAGAAAGTAAAAGCCACCAGCCAGTGAATTTGTAATAAATTCTTATCAGTAAAGACTGCAGACCTGTGCCTTCCGCCTCTGTCCACGGCCAGCAGCACAGTTCATCAGGCCCTGGAGCTGCCGTGGCCCCCGCCCTTCTGGCGATGGCAGTGTGCTGCGTCCAAAGTGCTGAATCATCTTCTTATCTCCCCTCTTCTTTTCCCGGACACTTGAGTCCAGGCACAGGGTAAACTCGAAAACCAGAGGCTGTTCTGGGTTTAATCCTGGTGGGTGAGTAAGTAACTGCACTTCCCAGGGACACTTTCATTGAATATCTCTTCGGAATGATTACGTAACTGATCGCTCTGAAAAAGCTTCTGAACCTGCAACATCTGATCTGTTTTGCAGAACATCAGTTAGTTACTGGTTATAGATCGAGATGACCTGGTGATTTGTCATTTGCTTTTCTTCCCTCCGCGGTACTTGTTTTCAGAAATGTTTCTTCTTCCTTTAACTTTTATGTGATCGTGATGCAATTAATAGTCAGTAATCGGACAGGTGCATGGTAGTCATCTTAAGTAAACATTATGGGGGGAAGGTGTTAATATTTACTTTAAATGCACAGCCCTAGGAGAAAACTCGTGTTTCGAACATGATAAAGTGTAACCGAGACCACGGTGGGATCTCCCCCAGTCTCCTGACAAAATGGTGCACAACCGTAAAGCCCCGACTTGGAGGAACAACCTCATTGCAGGGAGCCCATTAGTTTCTCCGCGCCCCTCTTTCTAGAGCTCTTGAATAATTATGAAATCTGAGATGATGGGGAGAGAAGAACAGAAAGGCAAAGGACCATTGATTTTAGTGGAGTTTTTTTTTTTTTTAATCACTGTTATTTCAGAGGGAAGAGAGGTCTTGGGAAGGTTACTTTCAACTTCTCTTCCACTGAAATAACGGGTAAGTTGACCAAGGGAGAACTCGCTCAGTGCTAACGGCAGCCAGCCACCCACGGTGTGGTCGCCGGCACCTGTGAGGTGTGGGCGCACGGACCCCCTGTACGAGCCCAGCAGCTCACCTGCTGGGCACCCACCTCCAGGTCACTCTGTGCACAGCTTCTCCTCTGCCCCGTAGTTGTTTGCCTCCTGTTTTATAAACCAAATTGAGGAGATTTTGGCTTAGCGTGAGAGCCTGTGTGAGGGGACAGGTCATAACTAGAGTTCAGTGACAGTGGCCGGATGTGATGGGGTGGTGCTCCGAAGGCTGGTTTCCTCGGAGCGTCCTAAGGGGAGCTGTGTCCGGTTTGGAGGGAACTTCGAGAAGGGGAAATAGAGAGATGTAGGCATGTGCAGATTTCAGCCACGTCCTCACTTGCTTCTGCCCTCTCGTCTGCTCCGTTAGTTTCCTGGCGTCACGCAGGGGCACACGCCACGCCTGCACAGCATTACACTGTCCCCTGTGGTTGCTGAGAAAGCACAGCGTTGTTCTGGGATGTCCCCAATGGGTTTTTAAGAAATTATTGATACTTCTGGTAACTCCAGGAAGACAGAGGGGAGTCAGTTAAATGACTAATGGGTGACATTGTCCTGCAGTCCAGAAAAGTCGGCGATGGAATCCAAAGCTAGACAGAACCCTAGATGCTGTCTGAGCAAAACCCCTCGTGTTACAAAGTGATAAATCGGAGGTGCCGTGTGTGGGCCAGTGGTGCTGTCCCAGCCCTGCCGCTTTGGCCTGACACCTGTCTTCATTCAGACACGACAGGAGCCAGGTAACAAGATAGAACAGAAAGGAAAGACCCCCTTATACACATAACTCAGAATTTGATAGAGAGTTACAGTCTCATAACAAGAACTGGAGGAGAAACAACTTAGCCTTTCAGAGTATGAATCTTTCCAGACTAAAGAAAGTGGGAGGGCCGAGGGAGGGTCATCTGGAAGGCATTTAGTGGGGCACTGAGAAGGGAGGCCTCGGTACCCAGATAGAAGCCTGCAGTGTGTTCAGACAGAGGACTTTCAAAAGAACGTTGAAGCACATGAACTTAATGTATATTGCATTGAGTTAACATGCCCTTTTCTGCAGCGGTGTACTTACTTCCAAATGTTTATAGCTGAGTCTGTTTCTTCCCCTAGACTCACAGAAAAACATCTAGTCCAACCCCCTCAGTTTGGCAGATCAGTAAATCAAACCCCGGAGGAGCAAAGTCACTTGCCTGAGGCCACGTAAGCACTTGGTACAGGAACCCTGCTTCCTGGGCCAGGAACATGCCAGATGACAGGAAGGGAGAATGCAGAGGTGATGAGTGGGGAACCGGGGCTGCGTTTCTGGGAGTCCGGAGGCAGAGTGAGGTGGGGGAAGGACGGATGATGCTGAGTCTGTCTGGAATGCTTCCCCCTTCAGACGTCCCGCCTCAGCTTTGAGGAAGGAGGCAGCACTACCGCACTGAAACGTTATCTCTAAGTTGTTATTATTTCTAATCGTCGAGTAAGTAACTTAATTTCTCTCAGGGAGAGAACCCAACAGAACCTAGCAGAGAGCTGTACCCATTGCAGACCCAGCTCTTCTTCTATGTTACCTGTGGGCGATGTGCACATTTAGGTCAACTCCACCCACAAGATATTTTGCCCAGAAACCTGGAAAATTCTGGGTTTTGGCTTTCTTTATCTGAAATGAAATGGTCAGACGAAAAGATTTCAGAACGTGGATCTGTGACCCCCCGTGGACCTTTGGACCGAAGTCCCACGTCCTCACCTTTCCCTACATTGAACACCAGGTACAGGTATAAATCACAAAGGACACTGCTGTCGGTTGCTGTACAGACAGTGCCCCACGAAGGGCTTAGCTCTCACTTGTTGAAACCCTGCAGTTCACTAAGAAACATTAGAATGTATATGAGTTTATTTGAGCCGAGCTGACCACAGTTGCCAGGAAGCCAAATCTCAACAAATCGAGAAAATGCTCCAGAGAACAGCGGTTTTGCACCTTTATTAAATCATCAGCATCAAAGGAGGAGGTGTGGGGAAGGTGACATAAAATTCATTGGTGGTAGATCAGGGAGGCAGGAGAGAGCAAAGCAGGGAACCTCTGAGACTGGATGAAGAGTAGAATGAAGACATACTTCTTTTCCATCGGTGGGTCCTGGATAGTGAACAGTTAACACCGACGGCAGGTAGAGACTGTGTGAGGGGAACAAGGTGACCCTGAGGGCTCTGTGGTCCTGCACCTGGGTAGAGGGGGAGGTGGGAGATCCACCCTGATGGGCCTGGGGAGAAAGGAATTACTCTGACCATCCAAAGGTGTGTTATCTTAGATACAGAAGTACAACAGACAGGCTGAGTTAAGGTAATATTGACCTTTGTCGAGGAAGATTCTGCCCTAGGACATGACTACCCATCTTCGCTTGCTTTTAGTTCAGAAGTTTTCACTTCAGACCATCCTGTGTGGTCGCTTTAGGTCTCCGAGTTTGTGAGACAGCCATGCAGGCCTGCCCCGTGCTTGTCAGGTTTAGCATGGGGCCCCTTTTTCATGCACAAGCTTTAAATGTTTAAATTTAGTCCTGATCGAAGGTTTGAATTCTCTCAGATAATTGATGGGTAGGTAAGTATATAAATAGCTCAATACGAAATCCCACAGATTATGTTCTAATGTAGCTTAAATTTTTTATCACTGTGTTTTTGTCCTTGTGTTTAAGGCAAGGTTTACAGTTATGACAGAATACATTTTGAGATGACATTTCACTGGAAAAAATTTTCTAAAGTGGATTGCTTACATGTATAAATATAATGTCGGTCTCAAAAGCACTGCCCCGTTTATCTGTAAAGTAGACAGTCATTGAAGCACTGGCCTGGATAAAGGCCTTGAGTGCAGAATGATTGGTGTATTAAATTCCTTTTAAACAGATCAAAATAACGATGGTGACTAAAATAACTCATAAATATTTCAAGCCCAAGTTTTCAATAGTGTACTTTTAGTAGAAGAAGTAAGTTAATATTTTGAAGCACTCCTTGAAGAAATTTACTTTTTTCTTTTTACGGCAGTCTCTACTTAAAAATACTGGGTTTCATTTTGGTGGTCTGCCAAGTAATCACATGTGCATGGGGCTCCCTCTGTGTAGGGGTCAGTGTCAGGGGTCTCCACACACCCCTCCCTGTCACACTGGGGACAGTCCTTCCCTTTTGAGGCCGTGGTTTAAAGCAAAACACAGTCATTAGAGTGCGCGACTCGAGTCTGGATCCCTGACACCTACTACTCTGTGCCGTAGGCCAGCTCCCGTTAGGACCCTCTCTGAGCCTCAGTTTCTCTGTGTGTAAAATGGGGGGTTTTCTCTACCTTAGAAAGTCGAGGGGAGGATTGTGGTGTAAGTGCTGAACGCAGTCTGTTCCGTTGGTGGGTCCAGATGGGAGGCACGTACCCAGCAATTGGTAGCTGTCACTGTTTTCTGTTTTAGTTTTGGAGATGGTCCCCACGGCCCCACGCAGGTCTTTGTGTGCATGTGATGGAGAATGCCTCTTGCTTCCAGGAAACGGCACCAGGTACGACCTGAGCCCAGTCACGGCCGTCAGTGTGCACTTGCTCGGCAGTGACGGAACGCCGGTGCTGGTGGATGGCCCCATTTATGTCACCGTGCCCCTGGCCACACAGAGCAGTCTGAGGCACAATGCCTACGTCGCAGCGTGGCGATTTGACCAGAAGCTGGGTAAGCGAGACACCTGTGCCGACAGTCGGTTAACAGATGACTTCATCATTACTGTTTGGTTTTTCTTCCAGGAGGCTGGCGCGCGTCTCCCCTACTTGAGGGTGTCGAACTCGCAGCGCATGCGTGGTTTCGGTGGGTAGCGCTTACTCCCGCCGTGTGCCGTTCAGGCACGTTCTTTGTAGTTCTTTTTTCCCCCCTTTTTTTGCACATTTAAGCTAATTTACTTGAAAATAATCTTTAAATGTTATTAATGCTCCCCTAATCTTTATAATTTGATTCTTTAGAAGGTATATGATCTCTCTTGGTCGTGTGGTTTTCTTTTACTGTTTTCTGAAAAAAGGAAAACATTGCCAACATTGCACGAAAGAAAAAAAGAAAAAAGAAAAATTATGATTGCACCACCTAGAAAGCACCACTAACTGTATTTTGGATCACACTCCTTCAGTCATTTCACAGTGCACACATGGATTAGTCATCTATTGCCAGGTAACAAATTGCCCCCGAGCCCAGCAGCTTTAGACCACAGTGAACACCTGTCATCTCACCGTTTCGGGGGCTCAGGAACACAGGCACAGCCGGCCTGGCGGTTCTGGCAAGGCTGCCGACAGGCCGTCAGCCAGGGCCCCCCTCATCGCGAGGTTGAGCTGGGCTGGCAACACGGCCCCGTCTCTCTCACAGGCGTGTTGGAGGCCTCAGCTCCTCACAGACTGCCGGGCAGGGGTTCAGTTCTTCCCCACGTGGGCAACTCCGGGGGGTTGCTCACAGCACAGCAGCTCGCCTCCACCAGCCCAAATGGTCCAAAGAAGAAATAAAAATTGAAAGTAAAAAAGCACAAGTGGACAAAGCGGACGCCACAGTCTTTTGTAACCTGGTGTCAGGGTGGCACACCATCACTTCTTTGCAGATGCCCGACGGTGGGGGTGGGGTGGCTGCCCAGGTGTGCGCACACCCAGCGGTGGGGATGCGGGGGCTCCCCAGAGGCTGCCTGCCACAAAGTATACAGTGAACAGAAATGGGATCGTGTGCTGTGTACTGTTCTATAGCATGCTTCTAAAATCGCTTGTATGTCTCGAACGTATTTCCATAGCATCGGCTACTGTTCTGCAGTGTTAACATTAATGAATGCATAGTATCCCATCCCGTGGGTCTGTTATGATTTGGGGGCTCAATCCCCTACATTCAGGAAGAACATTAATATTCTCACCAGTGCGTGATAACTATCTTTATCATAAACCTTTATGCGTAGTCATGATTATTTCTCTGAGATAAGATTTTGGAAGAAGTAGAATTGCTGGGTTAAAAGTGTGCACATTCGGCAGCTTTAATGCACATTTCCAGATCTTTCTGCAGGACTTTTTGTGGTCGACAGTCAGAGTCACGCTGCGGCAGCTCATGCTTGTGCTCAGGCTCTGGCTGCACACTGGCCTCGCAGCCTCTGGTGCCGGGTCCCAGAAGTCCAGCCCGAAAACACTGGTTTTCAAGTGGCCCAGTCCAGACTATTGGGAGGCCTTTTAACATCAAGTGTTTTCAAAGACAGCTAATTTCTTGAGTAATTTATAGAAATTTATTTTTGGAACCAAATGCGTGTTGGTCTTTCTAGAGGTGTGGGGGGGTTGTTTTGTTTTTTGTTTTTACTTTTTGAATAATTACTAACAGACCCCATAACTCTTCCTGTGGGATTCAGCGATTATACCAGGCACACGGAGCCCGGCATTAGCAGATGGGTGGTTGCCCTGCCCCAAGTGGGAAGGGCGTTTTGTCGCTGGCATGTGTTCTCTACAGCGCGGTGGCTTTGAGGACAGAAGGAGCCCTGGGCTGCCAGGAGAGAGCAATGTCAGGGGGCCGTGACGGCGAGTCTCTGAAGAGCAAGGACTTCTGATGGGAGGAAGGGACGTGGGCGAAGAGGCCTGGAGAGAAAATAGGAAGGAGAAAGGGGAAAGCTTGCATTTTGTATCCTGAAAACCTGGGTTCTGCTCCTTGTAACATTGCAAATCCCACTTTGGGCAAATCACTTGTGCCTGTGTTCTTATTTGTACAAGACTGCATTTCATTCCTTGTGTATTCTGCCTCTTTCCATTAGCCCCGCTGGTTGGCCCTGAATATCATTGGGTCATTCTGGAGCAGCACAGCATGTGGGTAAGAGCAGGGAATCAGCCCTGAATGGTGTGGCTCAGATGGTTGGAGCGCCGTCCTGTAACTGAAGGGTTGCGGGTCCAATCCCTGGTCCGGGTGCATATGGAAGGCAACAGATCACTGCGTCTCCTATCAGGGTTTCTGTCTCCCTTCCTCTCTCTCTAAAAGCAATGGACAGATGTCCTCAGGTGAGGATGAAAGAGCAGGGGCTCACAGGGCACACTGGGTTGGAATTCCAGCTCTGCTGCCCACATGCCAAATGGCCTTGGCTGAGTTACTTAACCTGCCTGTGCCCGAGTTTCCTCAACTGTACAGTGGGGATAATAATAGTACCTATTGTTGTTACAAACAGTGTATTAGTCAGAGTTCCCCAGAGAAACAGTGTTGTGTGTGTGTGCACATGTGTGGAAAGAGAGAAATTTTAAGGACTTGGCTCACACAGCTGTGGAGCTGGAAAGTCCAAAGTCTGCAGGGAGGGCCAGCAGCCTGAGATTTGAAGAATGGCTGATGTTGCATTTGAGCCCAAAGTAGTCTGCTGGCAAAACTTCCTCTTCCTTGTGGGAGGTCCGTCTTTTTTTTTTTTTTTAGAGCCTTCAACTGATTACATGAGGCCCACCCATGTAATGAAAAGCAATCTGCTATGCCCAGTCTACTGAATTACATGTTAGTCTTGTCTTAAAAATAACTTCAGAGCAACATCGAAATACACTTGAACAGATGTCTGGAAACTGTGGCCTGACCAAGTTGACACGTAAAGTCAACCACACCAAGGAGTAATTGAATTACTATTGTGAGAAGCTCAGTACAGTGCCTGGTGCACAAAGCAAGCATGCGCTAAGAGTCTGTTAGGTACACAAAGTTCGCCCCATTCTGTAGAGGCTTCCTGGTACTGCGCCGTCCAAGCCCCTTTCCCCAATTTCTGGAAGGACTGTTCCCTGTGTGCTGCCCCCGTTTCCACACACTGCAGTCCCTCTTCCACCTCGCCACACACGACCTTGCTCTCCTGAAGCAAATGTCACCAAGTTCGCCAGCAGCAGCCCGATTGTGAAATGAGGCGACCTCCTCACCCTCTCAAGACAGATTCTGTCCTCTGTAGAGGGCCCTCCTTTTTTGGCTTTCTGACTCACTGTCCCCCTGGGTCCTCATCATCTGCCAGTCCCTGGGCTTTGCCCTGCGCCCAGCTCCTAACTTACTTTCTGTGTAGTCGCTGGGGCATCTCACCGCTTCTCACACTCCCACAGTTACCTGCGCACCCTCGTCTGGTTCCCTGCGCTGCGTGTCTCATGTCTGTGAGACATCTCTTTCTGGATGTCCTAGCCAGAACTCAGATTCCACATGTCTACAACTGAGACTCATCAACTCTCCTCACTCCAGCCTCTCTTCCTGTTCACCTTGTTGCTCTGTGTTTCTTCTCTGGTTAAGGGTGTCGTCCACCAGACCATCGCAATAGCGACCTCAGAGTTACCTCTGGTGTATTCTTTTCTTCACTTCCCCAAGCAGCCATGCCTGGGCCCCTGCAGAGCCCTGCGAATGTTGGGTCAGTGTTTCTCCACCTCGCCCTCACCTCTCCTTCTCAGTGGTACCTCTGCCTCAGTTCTGAAACTTCCCTCTTCTCTGGTCAAGTTCCGCCCCTGGTCTGGCTGCCTTCTGCCTCTCCTTCCCTCTAGTAGGTCTTCTGCATTGCTACTTGGGCTATCTCCCAAAATGACAGACCACTTTCCCGCATGAGTGTGTCATAGATCCACTCACCGTGAGGCAGTCCACACTGCCTCGCACGGCGCTCACCTCCTCGGAGCCGGCCCGGCCCGCCTGTCTCCCTGCCCCACAGCCAGCCCCTGTGTCCTGCACACCCTTGTTGCTGCCACGACAAACTACTTACCCTTCCCTGCGAGTGCTCGGGACTCCCTCACAGCCTGCCACTTTGTGTGAGCAGCTTCCCTCCTTTCAGATCCCTTTCTCCACCCCCTAAACAGTAATTCAGACACATTGTACATGTTACAGTGATACTAGAAACGTATAAGGACATAGTGTTGTAGTTTCATAGTTATTATCTGTGTCCTTGCCAAGTCTTTGAATCCTTACAATCAAGAATAGTTTTGGGTCCTGGCTGGTGTGGCTCAGTGGATTGAGTGCCCACCTTCGAACCAAGGGTTGCCAGTTCAATTCCCAGTCAGGGCACACGCCTGGGTTGTGAGCCAGACCCCCAGTAGGGGGAGGGTGAGAGGCAACCACACATTGATGTTTCTCTCTCTCCCTTCCTCTCTCTAAAAAAATAAATAGATAAAATCTTTTTTAAAAAAAGAATAGTTTTGGCACATACTAGGTACCCAACTAAAATGTTTGTTGAATGATTGAATGAGGTGTTTTCAGAGTCAGGACAGGTAAAGCTATGACAGTGTAACATGGGCGCTTACAATGACTGTATGCATAGAATTTACTCTCACTTACCTGTGCACATACACCTGGTGCACTGAGCTCTTACTTAGAGAAAGGACCATTGTAGCGGATTTTCTCCATCTTGCTGCCATCGTTCTTCTCTTTCTTCCTGCCTCTTTTTTGAATGACTATACTTGATTATAGATATTAGGGCTGGGTGTATAAAAGTTTATGTTCCTAATAACATAATGTTGACCTTTGAGCAATTTGAACTACATGGGTCCATTTATACATGGATTTTGTTTTTCAGTAAATATACCATTAACCCTCGATATCCCCAGGCCTTGCATCCACAGATTCAACCCCCCATGGGTTGGAAACAGTATTTGCAGTCTGTGGTTGGGGACCCACGAATGCGAAGGGCCACTGTATGTACTGTTCTGCACCGTTTTCTATAAGGGACATGAGTGTTGGCAGATTCTGGTAACTGT